GGGGCCTGGGGTCCCGACTGGCCTGGAGGTGGGCCAGGGCAAGTGGCCGAAGGTCCCGGGGGGACCACACCCGAGAGGGGAACATGGCTTTGGGGGGGGCTAGGTAGCCCGGATGATGGCGGAGTGGCCGCCTGATAGGAGAGGATCATAGAGGGGTCCTGTGTGGATGATTCTGGGGCTCAGTGTGGGGCCGGTGACAATGTGAACACCATGATGCCGTCTGTGAGGCTTGGGCTGCGGTATTAGGGGAGGTCGGAGCCGCAGAGAGCACCCCCTGGCATCGGGGCACGAATGGGCAGCCTCCCGCTTAACTGACATCGGATTGAATCAATTATCATCAAAGGCATCGTGGGCGAGATAGGCGGGCGGTTGCCCAAGGACAGGTGGGCGGGCCACGAAGAGCTCGGCCCTGAGTAGGCCCCCTGTCACAGTGAAAGGCGGGCGGGCCACGGAGCCCGGCCCCAGGGATGCCCCCTGTCACACTGCCCTTGCAAAGGCGTACGTTTTAGTGACGTGCCTCTCCCAGACTGTCTCCTGGGATGCCATACTTCCTGGACAGTGTGTTCCCAGGAGGGCTGACTTTGTCACACAGTCAGCCATAAATCACAAAAAATCTTTTTTCCCTAAATTGTGCCATCCAAAAACAACTTGCATGTTGTATGCAAGAAAATGTGGTGTTTTCTTCATTCAGCTGAATTTATGTGCAAAATGTATGCAAGAGCTATTTGGGCAAAGAGTGTCCAGTTTTTTTACTTGAAACTTCAAACCACTGTGTTAACTAACCTGTCTCCACTTTAATATGCAACAGAGTTTTTCTTTTGTTGTGGTACCATATGTTTGTCTTAACAGGTCATTGATCTTCTACCTGTTTTGTCTTGGTGTTTAATTTATTTTAGTCGGTTACTGTTTTTATAAAACGTTTTTAACATTTAACACAAAGAGAATGCTTTCTGAAATACTCTGCCTTAATCTGTTACAGCATGGTGGGAAGTGTACTTATGGAACAGGCTTTGTACCTGTCCTAAAATAGCTAACCTAACTATAGCAGAGGTTGCACCAACGGTACAGAAACCTCAGTTTACGTTCTTTTGTCACTTCATGTCCATGGAATCTGTTGTGGCTTGGAAGTTCACACAAATAAATACCAGAGTCTGCATCTGTTGCTAAGCTCTTTGTACAAATGAAGCACTGTATAGACAGGGTGTGAGAGGAACCAAAAAACCTGCAATATTAAGTGAAAGAGCCCTGAGTGCTTTCCACTTTATTTCACTAGCACCATAACATTAAAAAAAAAAAATCTAACTAAGTAAACAAGGCAAGAAGATTGCAGCTGTGAAGTCTATTTTGAGAAAGTTTAGTCTTCACAAACTTATTGAATCTCTTCTCTATCCTTAGGATTGTTGATTCTCTCACTCCAAGCGTGGTCAAATCAACTTTATTGCATCTTGTTTACCTCTGTTAGTCCAGGTTTAACAATTGTGTTTTAAGTGGAGTGTTTTCTGCTCCATTGTTGTAAGAGAGCACAATGGACACTTTTACACATGCTGGGGGGTAGGGGAGGGGAGGGGGACTTTAATTAGAGTGGCTCCAGGAGTTGCTCTAATTAAAGCATTACAGTGTCCTGTGTATCAGTGTCCCCATATTTAAAAATGGCATCGGGGCACTTGAACTAAAGCTTGTTTGATGAGCTTTAGTTTGAGTGCTCCTGCCACCATTTTTTTTAGGCGCAGGGGCACTGATGCACATGATGGGAGGCTTCTGGAGTGTGGTAACTACCACACTCGAGCAGACTCAATCAATCGAGCAGCCTCCATGCTCATGTACAGTCACCCAATAGTGTTTACTGCTTTTTTGGCTCTGTGTGATAACAAATAGGCATATGCCTGTTTCTCAGCAGTATGGTGGAACAAATCTAAGTACTGAACGTTTACAGATAGAGATTGTATTTAGGAAAATGTGAAAGACCAGGACTGCTAAAGTGATGGCATTTTGACACGGAGGCACATTAGAGAATTTAATGGTTACAAGAGGAAACTGTTTGAAACAGCCTCTTAACATTCAATCTGGAGAGAACAATGGAGGTGGATGAAGAAAAGTATCTAATTTGTTCATGTGTTTGTGGGCTTTCACATATACAAAAAAAGAAGCTCTCATGCTTTAGCATTTACTCTCTCTAATTTATAAATAACACATGCAGCTTATTAAAATCAATTAACTATTAACTCCTACTTCAGATATCTTGCAAACATTTTCTCAGCAGATCTGCTAGCAAATAATTAGGGTATTTTGCTACATATCTATTACTTGCTAGTGCATTCAAGCTAGTTTTAATCTAGCTATATCAGGTATCAATGTAGTATAGTGATTTTTATAATCAGTGTCTAGGAGCCCTTGTCATGGACTTGGGTCCCACTATTTTTAAATGCTAAGCAAAGACTGTCCCTGTCCCAAAGAGGGGCAATCTGTATAAAATGACAAATAGATGCTGATGGACTTGGGTGGAAAAAGTATGAGGGGATGAGGTGATTAGCACAATAAGGGTGCATCCAGACACTTGCTGCTCAAACCACACGTGTTGATCATTAAACCATGTGCAGTACTAATTTACAGCATGGGGGCAAAATTTGCTACTGGGATTTTCTGGGAGCAAAAAAACGCCAAAAACCTGGGGGGAAAAAAAGCAGTGCAAAGTATGAGAAAATAGCGTTCACCGGGACAAATGCAAAGATGGGGCTGCCTGCTTCCCCATCTCCGCATGCTGTGGGGTCTCCCACACTGAGGCACGCTGAGACAGGGAAGCACCAGCCCACTGCTGCCTTCTTCCACATCTTGAGTTACACTGCGTCCCAGCCAGCTGCTCTGTGGCTGGCTGGGGTGTAGTGCACCTTGGCACAGGGAGATGGGCTGGGCTGCCTGCTCCCCCATCTCCACATGCCTCTCCTCAGTGGGTTGGGGTACAGGGTGCATCAGTCTGGGGGCTGAAGGAAGAGGTAGTTTTGCAGATGTTTCAGAGAGCAATTACCAAGTATGAAGCAGAGGCACAGGTTTCAGCTACCCAAGTACCTAGGATCCCTGGGTGGGCTTGTATAATGTTGTATTTATTGTCTATCCTGCCATGTCTTTGCTCTATTGCTACGTAAACTAGCTAGGTTAAAGCTAAGTTGAGTATTACAGTGTAAACAGCCTTAGAGAGGAGTGTGGTTATTAGGATTTGTTTTAACTTCATGGGAATGGAAGTGATGCTCTAACTAACAAACAAAAATAACCTTTTTTATTCTGTGGCTCATGTTAACCTTGGAAATGATGCAGAATCCTAACTTTTGTACACTGTAGTGTAATAAAAGCAATAAATTATCAAAATACTTGTGGTCTTGGCACATTTACTGCAATCAGTGTGCTCTGACCATTGTACAATAATTTGAAGCATAATGGGGGATTTTGTTCAGGAAATGGAGAATGAATATTTGCATATAGGAATTTCTAAAGGAATATCTCCCGTTGGTGATTACTGATTGAAGGGTCTTGGTTACAAGTCGTCCTGAGTACTTGGTGAAGATAGGGATTCTTTTTAGTTATTCCACTGGGAAGGAGTCAAATTGATATTATGTTAATCTAGGTAAGAAAGAGGCCAGGAAGGACAATGCTTTCAGCTGGTCCTGTCAAGGCAGTCTCCAAAACTGACATTTTGTAGCTGGTGATTTTATTTCTAATAATGCACTTCCAATTTCTCCTGTTCCATTTTTTTAAATCTTCCCTCCTCTCCCTCCACCCCCTCCATCCCTCCCACCATCTCATTCTTCCACCAGTCTTAAGCTCCTAAACTTACTGCACTGAAATAGGCAGGATTTGTAGCATTGTTCTCATTGTATTTAAGCCTTAAATTAAGGAAGCTATTGCACAAACATATTAGCAATTGTTGATTTAAAATGTACTGTAAAGACGGTTAAGGTAAGTGACCAAGACTTCAAGTTTTTATTTTAGGTACCTAATGTCCATGATTGAATTCTGCAAGAGATGTGGGTGTGTTGAATCTGCATATGTGAATCTAAAGTTACTGTCTGTTACATGTACCAATATCAATGTGTGTATAATTTTACTTTGTTTACAATATATTCTGTGCCTGCCAGTCTGGCAGAACTCTTTGCGATACTCATGACTGGAGTCATTAATTTATGAAGCCACTCGGACAAACATAAGGTACCAGTGGGAGTTAAGCATTCAGTTGTCTTGGAGGACATGTTTCTGTATAGCAGACCTCAGTCTTCATTCTTTGGATGGGCATGTTTTTATTATTGATAGCGTTGTTCCTTTTTAAAAACATTTGTCATGTGCTTATTTTTTAACTTATATTAAACTTGCAGTGTTTTAATCCCAAATTATATATACTTTGGTACAATATGTGCTTTTTTTCAAGAATTTGAACAACAGTTAAAGGAGAGGGATTAATCGGAATTAATATAATATACTGTGTATAAAACAAATTTTAATTGCTTTTTGACATCTCATTAGTCCTTCATTAAATGTGACACAATCTAT